CCGAAGCCGCCCCGCCAGGTTGCTCAGGCTTTCCGTCCAGTCGGGCTTCAAATGCTGAATCACAGCCAAGTGTAAGCACGAAGCCAAAGCTGAAGATCGGATCCAAACCAAGCTCGCTGCCGTCGAGTCAATTCCGACTCATGGCGACCCTACGGGGCAGGGCAGGACCGTCCCTGGGGTTCCCGAGACTAGCTCGACCGGAGGAGAAAGCCCATCTTTCATCCGTTCGCGGTGAACAGCCCGACGGTAACCACGAAGCCTCCAGGGCTTCCCCACTGACCTGTAACCGAAAAACAAAACCAACACCCAAAGTCGCTGCGCTGTAAGGAAAGGGGCTGTCGCTCTGGCTTTCGGGGACTGTAACGCTTTCCAGGACCCGGAAGCCTCTTCTTTCTCCCGCCGAGCTGCTGATGGTGTCCAGCTGTTGCCCAGTGCGTAACCCCCGAGGCCGCCGAGGCCGTTTGACTGAAGGGCAGTGGTGGACGCGATGGGCCAGCAGTGGGCGAGTTAATCTTCAACACATCGTTTTCTCCTCTTCTTGTCCTACTTCTGGGGGAAGAGACTTCTTTTCTTGAAAAAAACACTCCCCCAACCACAAGACAAAAGCAGATTCTGAAGCTAGCCAAAACCAGATGTGGCCTGCCAGCATGCATGGCTGCACCAACCATGCCCCTTAGGTAAACTCCTGACGGTCAAGGCTAAAAGTACACCGCTATCAGTTGGCTATACATGGGCCAAAAGCCCTCTTGATAGCTCCCCCTTAACAGTAACAAGGTGCCCTGGTGTCTAGCGGGTTATGCGTCGGGCTGCTAACCGCAAGGTCAGCTACTCAAAACCACCAGCTGGTCTGTGATAGAAAGTCAAGGCTTTCTACTCCGATCAAGTTACAGTTTCAGAAACAGTCTCAGAACCCACTGGGGCATTTATGCTCTGTCCTGTAGGGTCGCTGTGAGTCAAAACAGACTCTTTGGCCTTGAGTTTGGCATTGAGTTTTAACAGCAGTAGCTGTGCAGATCAACCATTTTATCATATGCGCATAACCACTTCTAACGCTCCTTCCCGATTTTTTTACCCCCATAAGAGATCCCTAGCCCCAAACTTAGAAAGGCATGTTGGCGACACGAGCCCTGTGCTCAACCATCAGCGGCTTGTGTCACTTTCCTCTGGTTCCGGAGTCTGTTGCCGTACGAAACCAAATCTAAGCGACAGCGTTAACGGTGATATCTGGGTACCTGCCCGCGAGTCTCCTGTTGTGCTTGTGTACATGAGCCATTTTGAACCCTGAGACTCCAGGTGGTATTCTGTGCCACAGCAGGTGGCCAGATCTTGGCCAGCAGAGCCCATGGTGAGTCTGCACCTCCAACCCTCTGGTTAGCAACCCAGCACTTAATTCACGATGGAAATGAAGCCGCCTACAAACGTCCTAGGAGTCTCCAAACCAAGCTATTACCTTCCGGTGGATGCAGACGCGTGGAGACAGCCGTGTGCCACGGAGCAGAACTGTATGCCATGGGGTTTGCAGAGAAGGTTTTTCAAAGCACCAGATCTGTCTCCCAAGGGGCATCTGGGTGCACTTGAACTGCTAACCCACACTGTTAGCCTTGTCTTAACTGTTTGTGCCTCCATGAACTCCCTCCCCTCCGTGTCTATTAGAGCATGCTTTATGGGATGGCAGATGAGGGGGTGCAGGGAATGGAGAAGGTTAGGGTCAGGGAGCAATGGGAAGTGCCACGGAGGAAAAGGACACGGTAAGGGGAGAGGAGAGAGGAAATCCATCAGGCCTCTGGATGCAGGCTACTAGCCACCCATCATCTTGGTGTAGGAGTTCCTTGTCTTATCCCTGGTTAGTGTCCCTCACCCACATGCTGTACATGGGCACGCACACACAGACACCAAAGCCACCCGCAGCCCCCTTAACCTCACTCTCTCCATCCTGAGGACCACCTCTCAGGTCACTTTTCCCATTATCCTTTAAAGCACAGTCATAGCTGGTCTCCACCCCCACCCATAAAGGGGGAACCAATCACAATGATCTGTCTATAACCCCCCTCCCAAGGGGATGGACAACAGAAAAGGAGGTGAAGGGAGACAGCGGTTAGTGTAAGACATGAAAAAATAATAATAATTTATAAATTATCCAGGGTTCATGAGGGAGAGAGGGTGGGGGAGGGAGGAGGGAAAATGAGAAGCTAATACCAAGGGCTCAAGTAGAAAGAAAATGTTTTGAAAATGATGGTGGCGACATGTACAAATGTGCTTGACACAACAGATAGATGGATTGTGATTCGAGTTGTATGAGCCCCCAATAAAATGATTTAAAAACAACAACAACAAAAAAAAAAACATTTCAAATCATTCCTAACTGTCTTAATTCAGGACTCCTGGGGCAGTCCAGCTCCTACCTGTCGCCACTGCCCACCAAGTCTTTACTTCCCAAAGGGGCCGCACCTTTCCGCCCCAAGTACAAGGACGGCTCACAGTACTAATCTCTCTGCTGCCCTCTAGAGCCCTAAAAGGAAATACAAAGTTTGGGATTTTTCCTAAGGCGTGTTTTTGATCGTCAAGAGGGGGCCCCCACGTGGTCATGTGGAAGGTTAGCATCGGAGCGGAGCGCACCACGTGGTCATCCAAAGGGCTCCAAAGCCGGGGGCTTTCCCTCCCTCAGTCCCCACAATGTCAGGACTCAGGCTCCTCCTCACAATCTTAGCAGACCCGTCTAAGAAGGGGTCACTCTGACTCCCCTGCAACCAGGTGAGATTCGCTCCTCGCGCTCCTCTACAGAGAAGACAGGAACCCACACCAGCTAGCCGCCGGTCTCGAGATACATCAAGGATCCGATTCACAGGCAAGTAGGCAGACGTCTAGACAAGACCTGCTGCCTTCCACACAGCACGGCTCCAGGCGTTGGGGGAGAGCCCTGACCCTCCTTTCTTTGATTCTATTTATCATTTATTTTTCTTTGTTGGATTTTAAGCACCACAACACAACTAGGAGCACAGGGACTGAGGGACCCAGAGGGAAAGGGTACGTCACGGTGTTTCACAGAGCTACATGGGTACACACACACACACACACACACACGCCTGTGAGTGGTCAGCCAGAGCGTGACACACAGGCAGCAGCTGCCAGGCGAGACACAAGTTTGGGCCCTGAAGCAGCAGTGGTGGGGATCTGCTGCCCTAGAAATGCAGCACACCTGGAGAGGGGGCTTCTGTGGAGGCAGTGGGAGAGGCTCCTGCTGTCTGATGCTTCAGGGCCCCTTCTGCGGCCACTCTTCTCCCCACCCTGGACTCCCCAGGGAGGTGGGGTCACCGCTGGACCTGGCTGCAGTTGTGCCAAATGCCTTGTTGCTCCTGAAAGAAGAAAAAGAGAGGTCATTTGAAGGAGACATTTATATCCCATTTTCCTTTTTCTGGTTCGGATGCTTCGGCCCCAGGCCATCTTCTCCAGCCCGCGGCAACCCTGAAGCCAGGGCAACCAAGGTCCAGCCTTCTCCTGTACGTCACCCCCTGCCGCTCCTGACAGACTGGCGCTTTAAACCAACCCCAGCTGCCATCAAGTTATGTCTGTCTGACTCGTAGTGACCCTGTAGGGCCACATACAGCAGCCCCATAGGGTGGCAGAGGCTGCCAATTGTCATGGAAACGACTGACATGGCCTTCTCTGGGGGTGACCAATGGATTCGAACTCCAGGTCACCCAGGGAGCAGCCAAGTACTTAACCACCACACCACCAAGGCTGAGGGGCCTGAACTGTGTCAGTCTGGAAAAGTGCTCCACACCGACCCATGGGATTTTGGAAAGATGATAGAATTCCGCTCTGGGGAGCTAAGAGGTCCCAGGTGAGAGTCACTCACCAGGTCAGGGGAGAAACCAGCTGGCCCTTCCTCTCCAGCATCTTCAGCTTCCAGCCCACAGCATCGACCTGGGACATGACTCCTTCTAGGGCCGTCTCCAGCTGCAGAACTCTCCTTGTCAGCCTGTGCCGGATGTGAGAGCTAGGGAGGGAGCAGAGCTATGTAGCTGGATGAGTAGGGGTGAGGGGAAGAGCAGGGAGGCAGGGGTGAGGGTCTATAGAGGCAGATGGTGGGTGGATGGGAGCAAAGAAGGTAGGGCCCAGCCTTGTAGGGAGAATTGCAGGCTTTCTCCCCCAAACTACGATAGGGAATTGGAATGTTATGGAAAGAAGTTCAAGGCAGGAGCTAGCAGAAACAGCTGTCCCCTGGGCCCTTGGCCTCACCTACATGCCGAAGTCTTCTCCTGAAACACTGCCACTGACTCTGGCCGCCTCAGAGCCCGGCTCTCTGGGTGGTCTTCGCTCTATGGACTGGCCCAAGTTCCCAGTCTCTGCACTGAGGGCCACCTGACCAGGAAGTCAGAGATCAGAGGAGAGGCACGACTCTGCAGGACATCTACTTCCGTTCCATCACCGGCTCTAAGGAGCTGAGAGGATCAAGCCTTGGACTCCAGTCCTTGCTCCGCTCCTCCCCTCGAAGCCTCCAGAGTCACTAAGGTTGAGATGGTGGTGAACACCAGCTTGCCACGCTCTGGAAAGGACATCAGTTCATAAAGAAACCAAATGCAAGCTCCTTGAAGCCGCGGTCACCGGTGGTCACCAGAGGTCAGCTCAATGTGGGACAGAAGGAAAGCACTCGTTAGCCAACTCCCCAAAGCACAGCGCCCCCGCGTGTGTGAGAGAAGACCTGTGCTCTCTGGGGTCTTCAAGGACTGACTGTTCAGCAGTAGATCCCTAGCACCGTCTTCTGAGGCCCCGTGAGACAGACTCCACCCCGCCAACCTTTTGATTAGCAGCTTAGTGCCCTCACCATTTGCCTGAGCCTCCTCTCTCAGCTGCCAGTACCGCCTGCCCTAGACCTTTTGGTCTATGCTCCATAGGTGTTGCGTCCCGGCCTGCGGGACGCACGAGCAAGGCCCTGCGGGGAAAGGCGAACCTGGATGGAGAAAAAAGACAC